GTGTGTGTGTGTGTGTGTGTGTGTGTGTGTGTGTGTGTGTAGGGTTAGTGGTGGTGGCACTTGTTCATTTAGAGCCCCATCTAAATACTTGTCGTGGAGGCATAGCAAGTATTCTGAGCATACATTCGCACAGCACGAGAAGCTCTGCATGTGGCTTCTAGTCGAGCTGAGTTGGTCATTTTACCACTTGTGAATGGAGTTGTCCTTGGTTGCTCTAACAAAGGGAACGACCACTCTCTGCTCTGGTTGATGAGCAGGTAGAAGCTAAGGCATTTCAGTGCATTGATCACAGGTACGCCTGCCCAGTAGCCCCTGGGGGTCCTTCAGAACCTGGACAAGACCAGTGGGCACCACGCCCATTGTGATGCTCCCCAGGGGCTTGTACAGAAAGGAAGGCACGCTGTCCACTCAGAGCTGTGCGTGGGGGGCCCGGAGCCAGGAGGCTGCAGGCGACCTATTTGCTTAGACCTCTTGCATGCCTCCACTGCGTGCTTTGGGAAGGGAGTTTCCATGGCAGATGAGAAATGGCCACTGCAAAGAAAAAGGGAGAGAGTTGGGGCATAAAGAACCCCAAAGTAATGTGCAGCCCGGTGTGGGTCCTGGTGGCCACATTGTCAGGAGACCCCATTGTTTCCAGGACTCACAGCCACTGTTTAGCTTTATCAATCCTTTCATACGGCCTGGGGACTCAGAAGCTGCCTCTGGTCCCCTCAGCACAGCAACAGAGTGCGAGGGCAGTGCCTGCATGTGGAAGGACTCTGGGGAGGAGCAGTCAGGACACCGGATTCTGGCCCTGGCTCGACCCCCGGCTGGCACAGAGCCCCAGGCAGGTGCTTTTGCCCCTCTGGAATTTCCTTACCTCACGCACAAAGGGAAGGGGGCAGAGTTGGACATCTCCTAAGGTGCCTCCCAGCCTTACAAGAGGGCGTTTTGTGATCGGATCTTGGCAGCCTTAACATGTCCTGACTAACATGCCCTTTATTCCGAGCCACAGGTGCTGCCGGATGTACTACCACAGTAACGGATGAGCGGCCGGAACCACTGATGCGTGCTGGTGTAGCTGCCAGCCAGGTGTTGGGTCTGTGTGTTCCCGCGCGCATTGCTGTGTAGACTGAGGGGATTGCCATGCAGCGTGTGAGTGGGGCGGGCACTGGGAGGTCCTTGTGTAAGGACCTTTACTTTCAATGTTGCTGTGATTATCTCGGCAGTTAGGAGCGTGTGTTGTGTAGAAGTTTGACAACCAGCTTCCCTCATCCACCTGTCTGA